AGCGAATTGAGTTAAAAAAGTGGCAGAGCTAGCGCTGAAAAGCAGTAGGTAAAAATCGATGTGGACGGACATACAGACACATACAGACACACATCAGACACACAGACACGCATAGAAAACCCCATCGACAAAATGCGTTTCTGTATTGCATAGATGCAAAAAACAAAAAATACCATAAAGCAGAAGGGTCTAGAAGGCGATTGGAAGATGCTGGAGTAGGGCGACATCGTGGGAGAAGGAGGCAAAGGGGGGCGAGTGAAGGGAAAGGGCAACTTTTGATGAGGGCATCATGACTGGGGAAAGGAAGAGGAATATACCTCTTTTCTGAAAATTGCTTGATCGGTGGTTAAGTTCTTTTTTTTTTCAGGAGCATTCGATTGGGATGGCTGCGGTGATCAATGCAAGACCAGGATCGTCCGCTCAGAGTAGCATGGGCTCCGGAAAGCCAGGTTCTTTTCAGCTGTTTTTCTTCTTTTTGCCAAACTGACAGCTCTAATTGATGCCACGCTGCTAAAGCTACCGGAAAAAAGTGCTACTTATTCTCAAGAAAAATACTTTAAAAAAATCGGTACAGACGAACACACACACACACACATAAAGGCACACACAGGTAACCTCTCCATGCTGCTAAAGCTACCGGAAAGAAATGCTATTTATTCTCAAGAAAAATGCTTAAAAAAATCGGTACAGACGAACACACAGACACACAGACACACACACACACACACAAACATACGTAGGAAACCAGTTCTCCGACAGTGTGAGTTTTTGCATTGCATAGATGCAAAAAAAGCGTATAAAAAGTAACGCCTGAGAAAGTAAACGACCACTCGGGCGACCATCGCACAGTGATAGGACACACTGAACAGACGGTAGGTACTAACTGGAGGTATGCAGTCCAAAATCGAATGGCCTCATCGAGCTTCGCCCAGCGTGTAAAAGCACTACTCGCAACAAGTTTTAATAAATTCTTTTTAAAGGTATAATGTGTGAAAAAATTTTAATATGGGAAATATTTTCAAATTTTATTGTGAACTTTATTACGTGAAATTTTGAAAGGTATAATATGTAAAATTGCATGTAGATTTTTTTTTATTTATGTAAAAAATGATGCCGAAGAAAAAGCTCCCCCTCTCCTCCTCCCCTCCCCGCAGGAGTGCGTCTTGGATCCGCCTATGGTTCCTGGTATTTCAGTTATGTCCGAAGCCTGGATCATCATCTGATGGCCAGTTTGTTGCTGCTACTGCTAGTGATGCTCACATTTGTACCGTCGTATTGTACGGAAAAAATAAAATTCAGCTTCCTCGCAAATTTAAATTCAGCTTCGGGTAACACGTACGACCCCATGAAAGTTTTTACGGGTAAATTAATATCTCGGGAACCACGGAGTCTGGGGGGCTGAAATTTTAAAGTAATGACCCCCTGCTCATGCTCAACCTTGCCTGTTCAGATTCAGCGTTCCCGCGCTCTTGAGTATCACCTACAGCCTCGTGAGGCGGGTAAACTATCAACTCGGGAATCACCGAAAGATATTCACCCTTCAAGGTTTCGAATTCAGTTTTCTTGCCCTGGTGCGTGAAATTTTTAACTGTTTTCCAATGTTTGAACTATTTTTGCATAGACTAAACTA